GATACAGCCAGCAGGAGAAGAAAGGTTTGCAATGAAGGAAAAGGAACAACAGCAGCAAAATCTGACTGAGGGGAGCTGGAGTAACTCAGGGCCTCATCGAACAAGCAGAGATCTCCTTGCTTTGCAGTTCCTTTGGTTACATAAACGAAGTTTGATAGGCAGCCGCCAGACCAAACACCACAGCAAGAGATTTCTGGCTCCATCCCTTCTCCAGATTTAAACAGAACAGCCAGCAGACACGAGAGGCACTGTGATATACAGAGCAGTAGTTCTCTCAATCTTTGACTACCCACTCCAACAAAAAAAGTCAGAACAGCTTTCTTTCAGGCTTTTCTACCTCCTACACAGCACACAAACATCCAGAGACACAAAAACCACAGCAACAAAGGGGGAAAACAAAGCAAAAAATCCACAATACCTTCTCTTGTTCAAGTCTCCCAGCCCTCCAACACTCTGAACTGCTTCAGCCTTCCATCTCCACACCATCTTTGTTCAGTAGAGCTTCCACAGGTGGCACTGATGGAACCTCATCATTTCAGGCCCTTCAGCTGTGCGCTGCCACAGCTGATTGCACTGCAGCTAATTGGGCTGTACCTGTGTTCTTGCTGTCCCTGCTCTGCCCTTGTAGTGGAAGCAGAATTAAAGAGCAACAAAATTCATAACCAACATCTGGGAACAAGGGACTTTTCATTCAGTCAAGTCACTACTTTTCAAAGTGTTTCTATTGGGTTTCACTCAGTTCTTCCAGCTTCGTAGCATCCTTGGCCAACGTTGCCTCCTAAAAGGCTTCTTATTGATGAAGTGTTACATGGACCTTTACATTTCTTGGAGGAAAGAAGAGGTGAAGAAGAAAATTGAATTACTTTGCTTAGTGATCTTAATTATCTGCAATAATTACCTTCAGTCAATTCTCAAACAAGAACTCTCCGGAGAGCAGACCATTTTAGTTTGGAGGGAAGAAATGGACTGGAGTCCAATGGAATGCATTTTGTAACTTATTTAGATATACCTAATTAACCCTCTGAGTGAGGAATCCAATCAAAGCTTCCCCATTACGCTTATTAAAAGCAATTTAAGGGGGGGGAAAGCATAAATGAGGGGTCTGAAACAAGTCTCTGTGACTCGAAGGTAAACTTAAGCAAAGAGCTGAACAAGTGGATGGAAGGAGGACAGAATTAAAAGATTTTTAATAGAAATGGTTCATTTCTCAGCCAGACCCCAGTGCAGAGCTCTGGTGTTGTACACACAGCTCTGTGTGCTCCTCTGCTGCAGCTTTTCACAGCTTCCCAAGCAGCAGAGAACAATCTTGCTTTATTCCGATGCATGTTGAACAGGAGTAAATTGCTCCAAATATGTAATAGATTCCCACACAGTGAGATATTCCAATTTTAATGCAAAATTGTATTTCAGTGGCTGCATCTCCACAGAAGGGGGCTTTGCTCGCGGCAGCACGCAGGCACTGGGATGTGAGCAGGCGGGATCCATTCATCCCTCTCTTTCATTTCCCTTATAAATTGCAAGGAAGTTTTTGGTGACTTCAGACAGAAGAGATCTGTACATAACTGCAGCTCTCCTGGAATAAAAGCACAACTGCAAGGCAGTGTGTGTGTCCCAGTGCCAGCCCATTCGTGCGTCCTTTGTCAGAGCCACTGGAACGAAGGCTGAAGGAAAGCTGACACGCTCACCCAGCCCTTCATGTGGCAGAGGTGGACTGGATGCTTTCTTTCTGCCATAGCAGGAGGAACTCATTGCTCAGCATGCCAGCTAATGGCTACAGCACACCACAGGTCTCCTTGCAGAGCAGTACAAGGCAGCTGCAGCACAGCTGGGATAGCTGCTCTGCGCAGGCAGCTTTGCTCCTGCATGTCTCCGTGCACAGTTCAGCCTCTCTCGTTCAGCCCCCGGGGCAACTCAAGGACTTAAAAGCAGGATACTGGTTAAGGGTTCAATCAAAGCAAACAAACTGCTAAAAATACATTGGCATCCCATCTGTTGCCAGGCAGGGAATTTAAGTCTTAGCAGTCAGGGGACGGGATGAAAGGCTGCAATAAACACCTTGAAATGGATATCTGAGAAATTCTTTGGCCTCGGGAAAACAGGCTGATTTTCTCTTCCTTCCTTTGCACAAAAAAAGTTTGGGTTTTTTTTTAATTTGTTTTTCCTAAGGGGGGAAAGTGAGCACTGAGCACAGGCTGCTGCAGCACGGGGAGGGAAGCAAACAAATATTGAACCTCTGTGTTTAATAACGTTGGAATGAACCACAGCTGATGAACAGTTTCATGGGCAGAATGGGAAGCATGGGCTGATCTAAGCAGTGCCAGCCCAGCCTGCTCCCAGCGAGCAGCACAGCACCCCACGACACCATCCTCCATCTCCTGACAGCAAAAGCCTTTCCAAGGGAAAAACCTTTGCTCGAGGAGTAAATATTTTGCAAACAGACAGCATGCCAACGGGCTGCAGTCGCAGCATTGCTGCAGCAGAGCACACAGTGCTTGTAAAAGTCCATTTCCACGGGAGAGGCAGTGAGCAGCGAGAGCCTGCACTGCTGGCCGGAGTTTTAGGAAGAGCAGACAAATGATGGGTGACAAATAATGAGCGCTTTTGGAACGTAAAAATGCTTAATGCACAGAGAGAGGAGAGGATTTGGCGCTGCTGGCTGCTGCGCAAAACTGCCCTCCTGCAGTAGGTGGGCTGGTGTTTGTGCTGAGCCAAAGCCATGATGAATAAATACCTCTCATAGCAGCGAGATGCCTGGACAGAGCATTTGGGGATGTCTGCAAACACAGAAGCAGGTTCTGGCAGTGGTTCTGCCTCTGGCACGCTCTGCTGCCATCAGCTCCTGCAGGACACCCGCTCAGCTCTTGGTGCTGGCAGCCATCTGCACCAACCTGTCATCCACCATCCCATCTAATACTATTATTTCTAGCCAGAGGAGGAAGACGATGGAAAAGAAGATTAAAAAGAAGCATCAGAGAAACTGCAGACTTCATTTTTTCAGCTATCCGGAGAAAATATTAGCATTTTAATTCAGAAAAACACCATGTGGGAACGGTTTCAGGGCCTCATCTGCATCTCTGCAGGCCTTCCTCTGCCATAAGGACCACCTTTCCTTACACGCTCGGCTTTCCTGGCCCTGCTCCCTGCACCTCCTGCAGCTCCCAGCAGCTCTGGCCTTTTGCCTTTCCTTTTCTCCAAACCTGGTTTTATGCAGAAGGCAGCGCTGATGGAATCACGCACAAGAAACAGGCAATCTGACCCTGCGACTGTGAAGTTTTCCTATTAAATCTCCCCCTGCTTTGTGCAGGAGTAGCTCGTTTGCTGCCACCACCGCTTTTTGGTAACGCTCACAACTGGCCTCACAAGAGATGCTGAGCGCCCGCGTCACCATTCAAGCTGTGAGATCATTACAAACCAGAAGACTGAAGCTTTAAGATGCAAAAGGAGGATCACGGCCAAGAAACATATTTGGGAAGCAAAATAAACCAGCTGTTTAAAGTCAGGAGAACCTGACAGACAGAGATCAGCAGAGCCCTGAACGCACAGACGGGTTTGAGTTGAATTAAAGCGCCAAGAGGGCTCCTGGGGCTGCTGGTGAGCAGACGGGCAGGGTTCTGCCATTCCCACAGCAAACTGCTTCACTGCATGCAGCCCTGGGGGTCTGGAGCTGCTTCTTAGAAACAGCACTTCACTCTGGTTTTGCTCCTTCCACGGCAGCCCCACGGGCAGTTTGTCTTTTACACCTTGCTCTTGGGTAGGGATGCTCACAACGCTCTGCTTTCCTCCCTGCAGTTGCCAACCTGAGAATGGACACCTGACAGCTATTTCTGGTACTTGGCAGTATAAATAATGAATGGTTTCACACTGGGAGGAAATCAAATGGCACCAGATGACTCCAGTAATAAATCAGAAGAAAGGCAGGTGGTCTCTTGTCAGGCATCTCAAAACCGATGTGCAGCTTTATGAGGAGGGAGGTGGCTCTGGAATAAAACCCATCAATGTAAATCTCAGCTGCTTAGGAGTTGTGGCAGTTTTCAGTGCTGCTGTAAAGCACTGCTGTGATTCTGCTCTTAGAGGAAAAGCCCTCAGCGAAGGGCTGGTTTAAAGATCACACTTGAACCACCCCAACTTCTTTGTGTTCATTGCTGTTCTGTAGCCATACTGTGTTACTGGGGGGGGAACAGCTCACATGCTGCCAGTTTTGCTAAAGAAAATTCAGCAAATGCACAGATATGCATTGAATCAGCTGTTCTGCTTAAAGAAATCACAGAGGAAAAAAAGAGGGGGAAAAAAAAAAAGGGAAAAAAAGACTGCTACATAATTATATATCACTGCCTCAATTCCCAGCTCAGAGGCTGCTCTGCTGTCACCTGTCCTGCATGCTGCCAGCTGTGATGGGCGGTGGTGGGAAAGCATTTGGTGCTACTGAGGTGCTTTGTTTGTCTGAAGATGACAGAGTACCTTCAGGGCAGTCTGTGTGCCCATAAGGATAACTGCCATCTACTCAAACACAACAGAGAAAGGAGTATTTAAATAGGCTTGGACGTATTCCCCGTGTCACAGCAGACCTTGTTAGCTGCCAACAGGCATCCCAGAGCTATTACCAAGTGGCCAGAAAACAGATATTCTGAGTAATTACATCTAGCAGGAGCTGGGAAGACAAACACTTCTCCAAACATCACAAAAAGCAAGGGAAGGACTTGGGAAAATATACTGATGTGTGTCTATGGTCAGTTCATACATAGGTGAGAAAAGCAAAGGCTTTGCAGCACTGCCAGGGGCACAGGGGCAGGTTGCAGAGCAGCAGCTCAAGGCAGGGAGCAGCTCCCCATGAGCAGAGCTGCTCAGATCAGCACTCCCACACTCCGAGGGATGGACTCTGTGATTGCTTATGAAATGTTTTGTCATCTAGCTTCAAGTTATCAGCAAGCTGATGAAAAAAAAAAGCATAAATCCATCAGGCATGTTGTCTTACCAGCTCCTGATATGTTTTGGCTACTTACAAAGAGTAAGAAGAGTCTCGGGAGCAGATGTGAAACGCAGATCTTGTTTGCTCGCTTGTCATCACTCAGCAACCAAAACAAACAGTGCAGGAAGCAGCCCCTGCTGTGTCCCACTTCGTGCTGGGGGGCTTTGCTGGTGCCCCAGCATCACATTATGGGGCAGCAACAGCCAGCCAGGGAAAGCACGTGGCAGGGATGTGATGACATCCCCCATTTAAAAGCCAGCTCACATGGAACCACGCTGCACCTGAGAGAGAAACGTGACCCAGGAGGTCATAAAGAACCATTTCACACACAATGCCCTCAGGAGTGACCTGAGGCAGTGGGATTGAGTTCCTCCCATTAGCATACTGTGCAAGCACGTGGAGCTTACCTCAAGCTCTGGGTCAGGAAAGCAGGATGAAGGCTGCTGGGAGTGTTGCAGAGGGGCAGCACCGTGGGGTTTTCCTTCTTTTCCCATGCCTCCAATTGCAGATAAAACAAAGAAAGTGATGTGAAGCTGCTCCCTGGCCCAGGACAGGAAAGAAAGCTAAGCAAAAACACACATAATCCCAGGTGCAAAAGGTCCCAAAGCATCGAATTAGACTCCTTAAGCTAAATTCTTCAGTACTGTTATCTCCTTGATTATTTAGCACAACAGCAAGCAGACAAGGAAAAATCGCTCTTGATGAAGCCCTTCGGCCAGACTTCAGCATCTTAAAAGTAAAAAAACAAAACAAAACAAAACAAAACAAAACAAAAAAAACAGAGAAAAAAAAGATTTTTACTGGAATTGATCCTGTCGAATTTTTTTTCCTGAGGACGGAAACAGGAACGACCCCACGCGGTTACACGGCCGGAGTTCCGGCGGTGACCGGTAGGGGGCGCTCGCAACTGAAGCTACTCCGCGGAGCCGCCGTTCCCTGAGTAATTAACCACCCCCGGACTAATTAGCTCTTCAAACCTGCGTCACGAGTGCTTTATGTTTTGAAAAAGTTAACGGAAAGCACTTTTAGTCAGCTCTCAGCCCGAATTGTCAACGGCCACCTTATCACAGGATCTGCGCGGCTGGGAAATACCTAAAAGCACGCGGGCAGGACGGGCGCTGGGAGCACCGCGATGGGCATCCAACACGGATCACAAAGCAATGCCAACTGCTTTGAGTTGCAAAGCATCCGTTCCTAACACGAAGGCATTCAGCCACCAACCCAAACCTGCCGCGTTGGATCTGCAGGTCAGGGCTCTGCTGCAAATCTGGGGGCGGTTCATTCGCGTACCGCTGAAGAGCTTAATTAACGGCACGTCACGTGGTTCTTTACCATTTCAAAACGAATGGGGAGTTCACAGGACCTCAATTAGCAAGCAAGAAGTGCAAAACCTGCTGCTAAATTCTCTGGGTATCTCAGCTGATAATTTAACCGCTTACAAAAAGAAAAAAGCCACCATCAACTGAACCATCTGTAGAAAAAAGCAGCTCCTTCCAACTGAGCCAGTGCAGATGAAAAACAGCATCAAGCTGCTGCCCAGCTCGCTCCCAGCCACCCGGCAGTGAATGAACCTCCCTGCCGCACGGCCAGCGCTGTGCATTACTCTTAAAGCTATAAAAGAAAGCAAATAATGCTGGCAGATGCCACTTGTGAGGGGCACGTAGTTGGTTTGTGCTGCAAGGAGCTCGTATGGAATAACAGCCAGCCCTGACCGCTGCTGGGGAGCCCTGGCTGCATTGTTTGCACAACTCTGTTTCTGTTTTTCAGTGCTTTCATTGGCTGTGCTGCAGTGCTCTCTGCTGGCACCAGCCGGGGATTTCCTGCCATGTCACAGCTGAGCTGTATTTGCTTTCTGAGCTTGTATTTACCATTAGGGTGTCACGTCTCCGTCTGTCTCTCTGTCTGAAAACCACTGTGCTGATGCCTCCTGTTTGCCCTCTCGATGACAACATTCTGAGACGTTAATTTTCTCACTTCTTCACAGATACCAGCAGAGGACACCTGAGCCGAGCCCCACCAGCTCATTTTTCCCAAGGCAAAGCTCTGTGACACCACCCAACGCACAACCCAGCACTGAAATCACAGCCCTGCCCAGGATCCTCCTGGCCCCTCCATGCACTGCCTGTGCTCGATGCAGGGCTGAGGCTGACGGTTCTTCCCTCCCAGCCCCTCCTGCCACACTGCACTGCTGCATTCCACCTCCTCACTTCTGATTCACACCATTAAAACCAAGATTGGTGCTGAGAGTCGGAGCATCTTTGGTTAATAAGTGCTATTTTAACACGAGCCCGTGGAGAGCCCAGCACAAGGCCCTGATTTCTGTCCCAGATTTCCACCAGGCAAGGTCAGGATTCACCGTCTCAATGGATTTCTTTGCAGAGCACACACAGCGATGTGTTCCCTCTCCTTTCCTCTGGTCGTTGGTGTTTTTCTCAGTGGTTCTGAAGGCCAAACCCTGAGTGCTGACTTTGCAGTGCACCCACTGCTCCGCTTTCCATTTTCTCAGGCAAGTTTCTTCCTACTTTGACTGTTCCTGGCATTGTCCTGCTATGGCTGTGCTCCTTCTGTAGGATCTGGAAGACATTGGCAGCAAGTGCTGCAGGAGCAGAACAAGGAGTCCTCACCCACTCCAAGTGGGTTTATCACAGCTGTCTCATTTCAGTACAGCTCACAGCAGCACCCAAACTCCGAGGACTGCAGTGCAGTGAATGCTTCCCTTTTGTTCTCATTATCTCTGCCTTAAACTGCTCTCGAGGCAATCGCATTATCCTGCGTAACGTCGCCTTGAATTTCACTTCCCCTTCATCACCCTGTGACCAGCTGTGCGGTGCCCATTGCGCTCACATCGCCCAGCAAACAGCCCAGGGATGGGACAGGGACCCCGGCACCCCAGGGGAAATGGATGCTTATTGCACAGACGGTGATTCATCCTCGGCAGGGGCACTTTATCCTGAATTATGGCCTTAAGAGAGCGATTTCAGCAAGGGATGTGCTGCTTTCCTCGTGCAGCTCCTCTGTTTGTGTCCACCCACCTCCTTGCCGTGTCCTCAAGTGCAGTTGCATCAGTTATCCAATGCCCTCAGCTCTGCCCTTGCCTTCCACTGTCATCCTCAGCACACAGAAAGCAGCTTTGGCCTTTCTAGAGGAGGAGCCAATTCATGGCCATTTTTCTCCTTCTTTTTGCCATTTTTGCCTTCGTCTCACCAACGTTAAAAGGACAACAGGTCACGCAGTCCCAGCACAGCACAAGCATCGATTCACAGCAGTGCCATCCCCAGCTGTCCTGTGTGACAGCCATTAAGGGCATGAATAGGTGAACCTTTATGAGGGTTTCAAGATCAAAACAATGCAAATTCCTCCAAAACCTGGAGCTGAAGGAGACATTCAGGCTCTACTCCACACCCAGAAGTTGTGACCCAATCCTGACTCTGGGCTTCACACTGATGGAGTCTGACCAGCAAAGAAAGGGAGAGTTCCGAACTGCCTTCTCTTTGTCATTAAGCTAATGAAACAATCAAATCTTAAGAAAAGTAATGAGATACAGTGCTGCCCTAAAGCTGATTGTTCCTGATAACAAACTAAACTTGGCAACATAGACATCTGTTGTGCATCGCTTTAGATGACACTGTGAATCAACAGAGTGCAGTCAGCAAAGTTGGTTTTGTCCTCCCTAAAAATTTCACACGATGGGAAAGATTTGAAGAGTAGTGAATATTTCCTGTACTCATGTGCTGCACTTCCCAGGAAGGTGACAGACGGGTTCTGGAAGTCAGTGCAATGATTGGTTCGAAATAGTCTAAAACACTGCTGATGGAGATTAATTAGATTAATTAGTGTCATTTTTCTCTGGGGTTTTGTGCCATATAAGGATGGTGGAGAGCAGCACCCCAACTCGCTCAGTTGGAACTGCTCACAGTGCGCCCTGCCCAGCCCTGCAGCCCTTCAGCATCACGAGAAGCAAACGGGGTATTTTTAATCCCGAGAAGTCATCCGTTCGATGAAAGCTAATCGCATTTGCATTCCCCCCCCAGCACTGTTTCAATTCCACGCCGGCTGCTGGAGGGCAGTGGAGCAGCCCAGCACCTGGCCGTCCAGCCGGGCAGCGCTCCATCCCGCTCCCCGCACCAGGTACCACGGCTGCGATGCACGGCGACGTGTGCACACATGCACACCCACAAGCTGCTTATTCTCGTGTCAATTGACTCCCTGTAAGTGCTGCCTAGCTACCGGCACGGCGGAGCCATCTCTTCTCCTCCCGCAGCCTCTGCCTGCTGCCACCAGCAGCCCTAATCCCCCCAGAGCTGTGGAGCAGAGCGGCAGCGCCGGGGTCCGACTGGCTTTGTTCCTGCTGACTTGGGTAAGCGAAATCTTATTTCTTCATGACCATTCCCTGGCGGATCCGTGCAGCAGAGCAGGCGGTGTGCTGGCTGACCTGGCTGTGTTTTTTGAATGAATGGTGGCTCGGAATGGGAGGGAGGATCCCGGAGGACCTACGAGCGCGGGGCTGTTGGTCTGATGCCCCGCGTGTGATCCTGAGCAATTCATAGAAAGCTGCCGCCTGGCATTTTCACTTCAGAACTACCGTAGGAATCCGAAATGCTCGTATTGATAAATGTCATCTTGAGAGTGGCTCGTCGAGGAGCGCCGAGTTACAGCACTGCTTTTGAATCAGTGGGGCGGTTTGATGTGGATTTGCCTTTAATGGCGAGCTGTGTTTTCAGTTTCTCAGTCTTTTGTCCCCGAACACAGAGGCCTGGCAGCTAATTTCACATGCAGACTGCTTGCTTTGGTGTATTTTGAAAACAAATCCTTTGACATTGTGCTCTCCTTCTTTATATATTTATATTTTGCTTTAAACTTCTTTCTAATTCCAAAAGCAGAATCATGAGAGAACCATATATCTTCCCCCCACCACATGTAACTTTGTCACAAGACTATTAATCATGCCTACAACCGTTTTGCTAGTGCAGTATATCCATTCAGGAGCCCAATGCTTGTCTGCAGAAGGATTTGTTACCGTGAGATATGGAGCCGAACAGATTTCTACAGGAAATATTTAAGCAAGGTCATAATAACACTCATTACATTCCAAGCAGTGACGTGTCATTGCCGGATCAGACAGAGCACGGCAGCAGTTGTGTTTATTGACCAGGTCTGTGGAAGAGCCCAAAGGTTGGCAGTAATGTTGGAACCACTGCTTTCAGTGTGCGCTCATCAGACCGGAGTCCTGCAGGCGGCTTAGTTGTTTATGCTGGGGGAAAGGAAACAAATGGAAGCAATGTTATGCCCTTCTTTTTCATCTCAGAAGGCCCTTTTGTCCATTTCGTTGTCCATTTCGTTGTATGGTCTTAACACATTGCTGTTAATGCACTGTTAAAGGTAGGTGGGCAAAGCCAGACCGGTCAGGAGCTGAAAGCAGCGTGCATTCTGGTGCGTGCAGAGTGTGCTCCGTCCCATTCCCTCTGCACATCCTGCTGCTCATGGACATCCTCCTGCAGGGCTGTGCTCGAGGAGGGGCATGGATGGGTCTGATGCACAGCAGGAGGGCAGGAAGCTTGCCCCAAGCTCAAAGGCTGCCGGCCCAACTTTTGCTATGAAGTTTTGCATTCCTGCGGAAAGCAAAGCTCCGGCTGAGCCAATGGATCCATGGAACCCTGTTTACTCACATGCTGAGAAAGGTCAGGGTGTTGGACCAGAGTCGGAATAAACAAAAAAATAACCCACAGATGTATCCAGTGCCTTGAACCAGTGCAAAGTGCAACAGGTGCCTTAACCAGACTGAGAGAGATGGGAAAAGATAAAATCACAGAGCCCACACAGGGAAAATCCCAGGTCCCAAAGTGCTGAAACACCAGGCAGCACAAAGCCCTGTGCAGACGGGTCCTGTAACCGAATTGAAAAGAAGGTAATCTGGTGCTGGGAAAGGGGGAAGGTGGGCGAGTATTTATTGCCTGAGTACGTATGCAGCTTTACATCTTGGGCAATTCAAACATTGGATTATTTTGCTCTCAAAATAGCACCACTTGCTTACTCCCCTTTCTCTCAGAAGGCAGCGAGGCAGGAAATGACTTGCTCGCAGTGATAGAGAAAAACTGAGAAAGCAGGAAATCAAATACACGTGTATGGAGTCAGAGCGATTCATCCATCCCTCCCTCCAGACAGCAGCACAACCAAATGCTGCGTGCATGGAGCAACAGAAGGAGAAACTATAAGACCAACAGATGATTCACGGGAGACTGAAGAAAACAGGCTGCTGTCTTCCTTCTAGAAGGAAAATCCATTCTAAATCAGAAACACCTTCCGTCTGCAGCCGGACATCTCTGCTCGGGGTTGCTTTCGTGTGAAATTCCAGTTCTGCAGAGATTGAGAAGGTGGGATGGATGGTGACTGTAAAGTGGAAACTCCACTTCTGAGACCAAGAGGAGGTTTCTACTGATGGGTCACCATTATTATGGAGAACTTTTGGACTTGGCTGGTTCCAGACGTAACGTTATGGCTGGTTTTTGTTTTCTATTTGTAAATGTTTGTAATTCTGAGAGTTTCACACGCATCAGAATACAGAAAGTAAATAAAGGTCAAATCACAGCGGCCTTTGGTGATTTCACAGAGCAGAGCCTCCAGCTGTTTGCAGTTGAGTCAGTTCAGTTTTCCATAACGTTAAATTAACCTCTAAAAAATGGTGTCAAGGATCTCGAAATCCCAAAGGTGCACTAATTAAGGAGGTCAATGAGGTTCAGGAGGATTTCAAGCACCTACGGTGACTGGCACAGAACATCTTTCAGCTTTTTCTGCTGCAGGACTTTCCCCTTCCCAAGCACTTGTGCACAAGAGGAGCTTTGGCCCCGAGGGCACTTGCAGCCCAGGGCATCTCTTCCTGCTGGTGGGAGGGCGATGCTCATGGCTGCTTTCAGCCCATTTCTTTCATATCTCCATCATGCTAAAAACCAAGTGTTTTGATCGCTTTTTCCCTCCCATGGCTTCATTTTCACCTTCCAGCGTACTCCCAGCTCTGTAATGTTAGACCTGATCTTATTAAGAGTGCTCAGACACTTGTATAATGTTTCACCCCCCCCCCCCCCTTCTCCAGGCCCCCTATAAGCTCTCCTAATTCTTCCACCACTCCAGTGAGCTCACACAGCATTTCCTCTGTGTGACAGCAGTGCTTAGAGAAGGGAGCTGGGATACTGCCAAGGGCAGACAGCCTGCAGTCCCCGCATGCTTCCAAACAGAGCACACCTCCTGTGACATCCCACAGCCAAACCCCGATGACGGGTGCCCAGCCACCACGCAGCATGGCGGGGTTTGACTGCACACAGCTGTGTTTTCCTCCGTCTCTGCCTGTTGTGTCACCATAACCCTGGGATTAGTCAGGCCAGTGAAAACCCAGCTGTGTTTCCTTTTACCTTCATCCTCCTCCTCAGAGCTGGGGATGCTCTCTCCCCATACCTGGCTTGACTCTCACTGGTGGCATCAGTCATGGAGCACAGTGGGGAGCAGGTAGCGGGAAGGTCATGACTCAATTAACAACAATTAGACGACAGCAGTGTAAACTGCCCACAGCAAATCGACAAAGTGCTTTCTATCAATTCCCTTTCCTGCAGTCTCAAGCTCTTTCAACCATTTCTCAAGTAATAAATTAGATCAGCTTTGATCCTTCTGAGTTGTTCGTTGCGCCTTTTTAACCCATTAAGCCACGGGTGCCTTCACTAAAATTAGCAGCCATACTCATTAGCAGAGTTTTTAGCACAATAGAAACATTTGTGATGGGCAACATGCACCAGAGGAGGGCAGTGACTGGGCAGCACTGCAGTATGCAATGCCCAGCTGACCCGGTGTTACGCTGCATCAGCAGCTGGAGCTGGATGTAGCAGCACCAACAGCTGTTAAGTAGCAAAAGCAGCACCAAATTCCCCATACTTCAGTGGTGTTGAAAAGCCTGAATCCAGGTGAGCGCTGTGCATGGCACCCTGAGCCAGCCCTGCTTGCCATGCCAGCCCCCACCGCAGCCCTCAGCTCTCTGCCCCTCTTCCTCACAGCATTCCCTGCTTCCACTCTGGAGGAGATGGGCCGCAAGGAAGAGGATGACAGCAGCTCCTGGAAGAAACAGACGAGCAATATCAGAAAGACGTTCATTTTCATGGAGGCGCTGGGATCGTAAGTACCCCCAAGGTGCAGCAGCCCGAGCCCTGCTCTGCCCTCCTGTCACAGCCTGGATGGGGCTTTGCTCTTTTCCTTGTGAATGCACCGATCTGCTGCTGCAAGGTCAAGCAAGGTCAAGGGATGGCTCTGAGAGGTTTAATAACGCCGTGTCTTTATCTCATAAACCCTGAGTCACTTGAAGGATGAAACGAGAGCGTGGCTGCTCGAGTTGTACAATATTTCCCTGGGAGTTAACAGCTTAATTTGCCTATTGGTCTGAATGAGACGAGAAAGCGTTTCTAAGGTGGTGGAGGAGGAATTGAATTACCTCCAGCAGGAAATTCTGCCATGTCCAGATTTTCCATGACTGTAGGACCCACAGCAAGGCTTCCAAACACAGCTATGCCAGAGCTCGGCTGGGATTTAGGTTCTCATGTTCCTGGTCAGCCTCAAAAATCAATGACGTTACCCAACAGCTTCCCCTCAAAGAAGAAGGCAAGAAGAAATGCTTGGTTTCTCCTCGCCAACTTGTTGAGTCATAATTTTTTAATAAGGGGCATAATTATTATAAACTGTTCGGGACAGATATATAGAACAGATGCCCCAGCATCTGATTTGTAGGTTGTTCATTTCCTACTACTACATTAATAGGATAATTTAGTATTAGAGTTTGGGATTTTTTTCCACACACATTGCTTCAGCTGGCCAAGGAAAGCAAATGGAGATCTGGGATTTAAAATCACTAGGAAATTTCCCATCATCACTATGGGGAATCCTTAGCTATCAGATTAGGGACCTCTGTGCTGCCCATTCCTTGAGAGCCCTCAGGAGTGTGGAAAGCATTTCTGTGAAACAGCCTTCAGGGCTCAAAGGGATGAAAGAGGAAAATATGAAACAAGGAGAAGGTCCTGGCACCAACTGCACCACCAAACCCATCTGGGCCTTGTGTTCTTTGTTCAGGAGATTACAGGAGCTACAGGATTTCTGCCCTTGTTTGATAGGTTTGCTACAATAGCATCCCACCAGCACGCTTCCACCATGCTCACCTTCCTCTCTCTACCCACCACTGCCTTGCAGGGTTGTAGGCTCAGCAGCTCGTCCCATTTAACCGCCACAAATTAATCTGTTGCTCATTTGATGAGGATTACTGGGGACTGACCTGGCAAAGCATGCACTGTCACTGTCCCAAGACACGTGTTCTGCTGCCTGAGAAAAACCTCTAACAGGATTGCAAGCTTAGGACATGTTGCAGATACCCACTCCTGGCCACGCCAAGCTGAACCCTCATCAGGATCGTCCCAAGCACTGCAGGCAGCCTTGAAGGGCATCACTTAATTTGACTGCAGAGAAATTCTTTGTCCACTCCCTCAGTATAGCTCCATGATAAACTATGCAAACATAACCTTTCCTCTACAGAGAAAATTGTCGTGGGTTTTTTTTTTTTTGGTACAAAATCTTGCATTGTGTTTCCTAACGCTGGGGCTGCTGGAAATGCACCTTCAGCTTTCCAACCAACGTCCACTTGGTGTTAAACCACTCCCAGGTTGTTTTTTCCTGTTCCTATCTGTCAGTCTCCCCCTGTTCACACTTCTCTTTGCAGAGGTGCGTTTTCAGAAGTTTTCTTGGTGAAACAAAGAAGCACTGGGAAGCTCTTTGCTCTGAAGTGCATCAAGAAGTCCCCGCTCACAAGGGACAGCAGCTTGGAGAACGAGATAGCAGTGCTGAAAAAGTGAGTTCACACATGCATACATACGTTGTCATGTAAAGAACTAACACCCTTTCCAAAGATGTGGTTCCAAAGTGAAACTGATGCAAAGAAATAAGTATTTCTTTTCAAATAATATGTAAATTAGTAAGCTAACGGAGTTACTTCTCCCCACAGCCCCAGCACAGCCCCAGGTATGGGAATGCAGCAGGTTGTGCAGGCACGGAACAGCTTGGTGAACTGTCACTTGTATTGAAAGCAATGTGATGGCTGGGTTTTCAGCTGGAAAAGCCACTTGGTCCTTGTCAGGTTCGTTTCTGACCCAGGTTTGTCTTTGCAGAATAAAGCATGAAAACATCGTGACTTTGGAAGATATCTATGAGAGCACAACCCACTTCTACCTGGTGATGCAGCTGTAAGTATAGCAGAGCCACAGCACACTGCAGCTCAGCACAGCCATTCTAGAAGTCAAAGATTTGCTAGGAATGCTTCCTGATGCTCCAAATGGACTCAGGAGAGCCTGCTGGCTGCTGAGCTGCTGCCTGAGAGCAGCTGTGCTGCAGGAGGAGCTGTAAAGGGCCTGAAAGGTCATGGCTTGTGTGGAGGAGAGCGCACGATCGCCTGTCTATTTTTCATCTTCTTCTGCAACAGGGTGTCGGGTGGAGAGCTGTTCGACAGGATCTTGGAACGAGGGGTCTACACTGAGAAAGATGCGAGCGTGGTGATCCACCAGGTCCTGACAGCCGTGAAATACCTGCATGAAAACGGGATTGTCCACCGTGACCTGAAGGTGCAGTCTGGTCCTTGGCCGCACGCTTCCCGAGCTCCGTCCCGTAGCTTTCTTCATTTTTCCACCATGAATTTCAACCTCTGGCTCTCTGTATTCACAGCCTGAAAACCTTCTTTACCTCACTCCTGAAGAGAACTCCAAAATCATGATTACAGACTTTGGTTTGTCCAAGATGGAGCAGAACGGCATCATGTCCACTGCCTGCGGGACGCCAGGATATGTTGGTGAGCTGAGAGCTGGGAAAAGGATGCTGTGGTGGGCTGCCAGGAAAAGGGCTGTGCCCCTACAACATGAAAGGGAAAAATATACAGCCACCTTAACAACAACACACCAGTCACAGAGGCAGCACTGCAGGACCCCACAAAAAGTGGATTACTGATGGTTTTGGAGACCACAAAATCACAGTGTTTAAAGGGTAATTCTAAGAGCAGTGAGTTTTGCTGTTATCCACGCATTTATTGAAAATTTACAACAAAAAATTTTTTAACACTGTGGGATTTTGTTTCATGTCAACCTAAGTGCATTGCCTCCATCCAGCTTGTCAGAGCCTCTGGGTGCAGGAAGAAGTCCTCAGTGGGTCATTCTATTCAACAGCATGAAGTGGATACAGAAGGCAGACAGCAATCCAGCTGCTGCGTAGGGCCATTACTGGCTCCTGTGCTGACCTCTCAGAAGCCAACTGCACGAGGATCTTCTCCTTTTCCCACAGTTTACCATTGCTTGCAATTTGCATTTCTTTTTGCTTTTCTGCAGCTCCTGAAGTCCTCGCCCAGAAACCATACAGCAAAGCTGTGGACTGCTGGTCCATCGGAGTCATCACCTACATCCTGTGAGTAGCAGCAGGGCAGCAGCCCTCCCCATCTCCACGTTTCCCAGCTCGTGCACTGCCTCATGCACCTCTGCAGCATGGAAGCATGAGCGGAGGCGGTGCCAGCCCTCTCCTTCCTCGTGACAGCACTGCAGTGTTCTCCTCCTTCACACAGATCCTCCAGACCATAGAAATGAAAGGGGTGGTGGGAATCAAGAACTGGAGAGGAGATGAAAGGAATCGCATTTTCTCTATTATGTGCCTCATCCTGTGCTTTGTTTTTCTCATTCAGTCTTCCTCTGTATGTTTTGTTTCATTTCCTCCCACACCATGCAGTTCTGTTCCAGCTGTTGCTTTGTTCTTTCGCTGCACGGTTTTTAACTCTTTTCTGCAGCTTTCCCCATGCACTTAGGGACAGATGGATCCATACAGCAGCCTCCTGTTACTCACTCCCTCGTGTTGCACACACGTGCCCAGCCTTAGCAAGCCACACCAAGCTCATGTGGATACACAGCTGAAGGACTTGTGCCCCTCTGCTCTGTTCCAGGCTGTGTGGGTACCCACCTTTCTACGAAGAGACCGAGTCCAAGCTGTTTGAAAAGATCAAGGAAGGCTACTACGAGTTTGAGTCTCCTTTTTGGGATGACATCTCCGAGTCAGGTAGAGCCCGGCAGCATTTCACCTTCCTTGGCCGTGGGGATGGGGACAGCCCACAGCAGCTGCCAGCACTGCAGGGCAGGGCAGCGATGCCAAAGCTGAGCTGTGTGGGCAGAGAGAAAAAAAGAAGAGGAAAGAAAAAAAGAAAAGAAAATAGGAGGCTGTTCTTCAGAGCAATTTCTAAAACCTCTCAGTCCCAACTTTTGTATTTTTTTTCTACTGGCAGTGAGAAATTCAGTTCACATTCACTCCATCTAAGCTGAAATTAGGTACATGTGCAGGTGACATTTTTCCATCAGAAGCGTTTCACCACACATATCTCCCTCCACCACTGTAATGAAGTGGTGCAAACACCTCCTTCCCACGCTGACCTTTGTGATGTTTATCTACGAGTGTTTGCCCTCTGCTATTAGGATCTCATCCTGGAACGGGGAGAAAATAACCTTTCCTCTCTGCTTCTCGTCCCTTTCCAAACAGCCAAGGATTTCATCAGGCACTTGCTGGAGAAGAACCCGGACACAAGGTTTTCCTGTGAAGAAGCCCTGAGGCACCCATGGTGAGAGTTGTCCCCCAACCTGGCAGTGCCATCAGCCACCTCCGCAAAACAAAGAGAACTATGAATAATTAAAGGTGCAATTGGTGTAATATTTGTCTCCATAAACAGAGGCAAAGAAGAAATCCCATTCTGGGCTTTTCTGAGCTTTGAAGTGTGTGTTTGTGTTACATTTTGTTGCTGTTTTTCCTTTGGGTTTAATTAATGCTGATTGAATGTACAAAGCAGTTAGTTGCCTCCAGAATGTGGAATGACTTACAAATGCCATCTGCCTATGAGCCCATTTTCTTCTCTCCCCATCTGCAGGATTAATGGAAATACAGCCCTTCACCGTGACATATACCCATCTGTCAGTGCTCAGATTCAGAAAAACTTTGCAAAGAGCAAATGGAGGGTAAGTTGTTCGTCACTGGGAGCCCAGAGCCATTTCAGTAGCAAACGCCAGTTGCTGCCATCTAGCAACAAGCGAGGTTCTGGGATGGGTAAGCACCCAAAATCCTCCAAAAGTGGTCTGAAAATCATATGCAGCTACTCTTTACGGTATGTTTGGACCAGCATTACCTACTGCAATGCACACTGCTCTGTTTACCATGGACACTATAGTGCCATCACAGTGCCCTTCCCAATAAAACAAGGGCTGGGGAAAAGGATTGCTGTCTTTGTGCTAGGGGAACAAAACCAGCATGCTGTCAGCAGATCTTCTTGTGAGCTTAATCCAGCTTCTCCTCCCTTCAGACCTGGTACTTCAATCTATATCAAAAGAGCTTTTGTAAGAATTCAGATGGAGAGAGGAATATCGTAGGAACCACTTGAATTAGAGTGTTTTAAATACACTCAAAATTCAGCTTGAGTCTCCGTTCCACACTGTGGGGTAATTTACAGCTGTTCCCCGATTTCCTTATCTAGAAAGAGTTATAATCTTCAAAAGCATCAGCAGTTTGTAGTCTGTGGTATTCACCATGTTTATGCCAGGAACGAGCGTTTTCTGCACGTTGTGCAAACATTCCAGCAGCACCAAGCAGCTCAGCATTACCACCCTGCTGCTGCTTCGTATGGACAACGTTCATCCAGCACACTGGGTGCTCGTGCTCACTGTGGGGTTTTTCTCTTCCTCCCCAGCAAGCCTTCAATGCCGCAGCCGTGGTGCACCACATGAGGAAGCTGCACATGAATGGCCACGCCACGGCTGGCAGCACCCACCCAATTATACAAGGCTCTGAAGCACCCAGACCCAGCACACCCAACACCACGCAGCCAGCAATGCCCAGCAAGGACGAGGACATGTCACTGCCCCAGGTCCCCTGTCCGGCCCCTCCTGCTTCGCTGGAGCAAGGCACAGGAATGAGAGAGAGCAAGCTGCAAAGCCCCCCAGTGAATGGATCACCAGACAACCAGAGCCCGCCAGCCAGATCATGTGGCTGCAGCCCAGTGTGCACAGGGCACGAGAGAGCCAAGGCAACTTTCTGCTCCGAGATGGTGCTCCTTAAAAAACCTGCAAAATCCCAGTAGGTATCCACGTCATCAGCCGAGACTTCCAACAAAGTGTATGGGAATAACCCTGCCTGGAAGTTGCTGCCTGGCGTATAAGTTGCCAGCTCCAGGTGGAGTAGAGAGGAGGGAGGAAAAGGAAAGAAGCAAACATTGCACCAGTACCTAGCCAAGCGTTTTTTTGTGCTTGTATGAGCAGCAGGTGAGGCACAGTGCCCAGGCTGCACAGCAAGGCTTGCAGTCAGCTGAGGTGGTGGGGGTTTGGTTGCCATTGCCATCAGTGCATTTGCTTTCCAGAAGCTGAGATGATCTATGGTTAGAGCTGTTGATGCCAATTGCTCAGCAGCTGCTGGCTGAGTGGACCCTGCCTTTGCTGCAGTGTTGACTTGCACTCCAGCTCTACTTTGCTTTCAGCAGATGACACTCTTTACATAAAAAACACAACTTTAATTCACCTGCAGAACGACCATAAACACAGCTGTTTATCTTTTCTTTTTTTTTTTTCTTCCAATCTTTCTCTTCCAATTCTTCCATTTCCATTCAGCCATTTCAAATCAGAAGTTCTCGTTCCAGTGAAGACTGGTAAGCACTCATCTCACTGTGGCACTGGGCAAACTGGAGTTTGTTTGATCATGTGATGAGGAAGGCAGCCAGCAGGATCCCCCATCGCCATGGTAAGTGCACACCATCCCACCACCAGCTGCTTGCAATTAAACCCATTACAGCATGAAAATGGGAAAGGCACAACTAGCAAAGTGACTGTACGGAAACAAATTGATTTTGCAGGTATTTTGTAACAGAGAAAGCCCTAATTAAGCCATCTCTTGAGGAAGAAGTCATCCTTTGACTTCCAGGTGGACCAGCCCACTGGCTCTAAAATCAATTGGTTTCAAAGGCAATTATGGCCTGAACAGCCCATCCTTGGCCCAGATTCGGTCCAGCTGGGTCAGTTCCAGTTGCTTTGTTATCAGCATGACATGGAGATGTTGGTTGTGTAGGTGAGCAACAAATGCCAGAGAAGTAAGAAAATGAAAGTTTCCTCCTGTTTGGTCATAGCTCAGATTAATTCCGAAATTAACATTTGAGACATGTTGTGTATAAGCAGTAGGAAATACTGCTATTAGATTCTGGCTGAGAAGATGTTCCAAAAAGGTGAGCATGGGTCAGCATAAATCTCCCTGGAAACTACATCAAGTGAGCTGCATCTTATCATCTTTTATGACCTTTTCTACTGATGAGATCACACGAACAGAACAGTAACGTACAAAGGATCAATAGATGAGACAAATGCATGTAAGATCTACTACAGACTCCAAACAGGTCAATTCCAGCGATCAGTCATGTAACAGCCTTTTATAAATGCAGCATACAAAAGGAACTAAGCTGCTCCTAACCCCCGTGCTGCTGCTGCCTATTAACAGAGCACACTGCGAAGGCAGCAGTCTAGCGAAACAAAGTTCAATTCCCAACTGAAATTCTCACTCTTGCAGAAACAGAAGGGCTGTTTTACTCTTTTCTGCACTTCAAAGCCAGACATCAACAGTGCAAGCAAGAAGAAAGGATGTTGTGTCCCGCCAGGGGCTGACAGGCAGCAGCGTCACGGAGAGCAGCGACGCGGTGATGAGCAGCACAGAAATGCTGGGAATCCATCAGCGCGGCGACCTCGGCCTGCTGCTGATCGTTAATGCTGGGAGAAGGCACTTTAGCAAGGGAAAGTCTGAGGCTGCTGCTAGCATAGTGTATATTATCCATACAACGCTGCTCAACGCTGTAAGCTTTTGTTTTCTGTATACTGTTAAGTTGTCCGATGCATAACAAGTGCACTGCACAGCATAAATCCTATAAACCAAAGCCATGCAGAGTTTTATTCAGTGGCAGCTCAGTTATTTTTACAACCTGCATCTTTCCCATTCCTTCGATTTTGGTTTCTCCCAGGCTTCAGCTCTTTGCAGCTCGGTGCCAAGCAGCTGCCCAGGCTGCGTGGTTCTCACTTCAGCTACAAAAGGAGACAACCTGCTAGCAACCTCCCTATGTCTGTTAATAACCACAGCGAGGTCTAAATTCCCTGCTTCCAAGTCTGTAATTGCACAATAAATACTTGCTTAATAAAGCTGACTTTTGTTTTGTAAAGTGCCTGTTGGTTATTCGTAGAAATGTGATGTGGAAATGGTCTATTAAGTCCCTTCTGAAGCATCCCCTGAGCAGCTGCAGAACTGCTCGCTCTGATATTTTTCTGGCAAAGTGTTACACAGTAAATAAGAAGATTGTGGCAGAAAGTCAAAGAAGACATTCAGCATCACACGTTTTGAGTATGAGATTGCATTTCTCCTAGTTGCAGAAATAGAGGTTTGCTACGTAGATACAACGGTGATAAAATTCTCCATTTCTGTGATCTGAATCTTTGATGAAAAATCTAGGAGGGAAGGACAGCAGCCATGGCAAGTTCTAAGCATGAACTGCACTGCCCCACATAATGGGTTTTGTCTGAATAGCAAATCCAGCTACAAAAGCTTGAATCTGGAAATAACCATGTGGGGGATGTGCATATTTGTAGCTGAAGTTCTGTGTCTGTCCTTCTCCTCCATGCCCAGGTAGCTTCAAGTGTACCAACCAGCATGAGGTTCACCCCTTTGGCTCTGTGCAGCTCCTTTCCAAAAGGACAGAAATCCCATTTGCTAAATATACAGACATTAGGAAAGTGAGAAATCCTGCCAGAAAAATGGGAATCAACACAGCAGTCGGTGTCTGCAGCAGGAAGGTGCAGCCTCACTCAGGAGCAGCTCTCATAGTAGGTGACTCGCTTATGGATGGCGTCCCGGATCCTGCCCACCTGCTCCTGAAGGCCTGACAGCCTGGCTGACTTGGCCACAAGAGCTCTGTTGCTTTCTTGAATTTCTGTCTCCAAAGCTGAGGAGAGAGGGCAGGGAAGGTTTTGTGAGATCATAACTGGAGGAAGGCATTGTGTGCAGCCTGCCTTCCTGGACTGAACCCCTCCTCCCTCCTGCACCCCTCTCTTCTGCCCTAAAAATCCCAACCTCTCTGGTACCCAAAAGCCCCAGTTCACCTGCCCATCACCCCGAGCTCAGAGGCTTACTTTCCATACGGAGCATCATGTTCCACGTTTCCTCGAAGAGAGCTTTTGCCTCCAGATCTATGTTCTGCACACGGCTGCCCTGTGCTCCCAGTGCAGGGCTCTGCCCCTCTCTGCTCTTCAGCTCTGCATACATATCTTTCACTCGTTGGAAAGCCTGGGGAAAAGTAAATTAAGCAGCAGCACATGTAGGACTGAGCAAATAAACTGGTGAAGATTTACCAATGTTGAACCCATTTTAAATACTAAAGAGATACTGTGCTAGAGCTCTGCAATCACGTTAATATGCAGATGCACAGCGTGCTCACAAAGATGCTGACTGGCATCTGCACGGGCTGCTCTGCCTCAGGTGGGGCAGAGAGCAGAAACAGGTCTTGAGCCAAAGGCATTAAGATTGAGAAAGCCAGAGGGAGCACGGTGCAAGGCCAAATACCTGCTGAGCCCCGTTGGCCTCCTCGCTTGCTGCTGCTGCTGCCTGCTGCGCATCGCCGGCCCGCAGCCGGTTCTGCCCTGCTGTCTGCTGCAGCCCAGGGAGCCTCTCTGCCAGCACAGCCAGCTGGGCTGCTACTGAGCCCACGTTCTTCTCAGCTGGACCAAGCACTGCCTCGATCTACAAGCAGAATGCTCCATGTTAAGAGGGAAACTGCAAACAAAAACTTTTTCTTCTGTGCAGTGAAGGCTAACGGATTTCCTCCTTGCAGGCCTGGAGCTCAGAGAAGCAGACAAGTGAGACCCAAAAGGAAATAGGGTGTTGTTTTTTTTTTTTTACACAAAATATCTCACCCACTTTGCTGGTACAGGGCTGTACCCCACTGCAAAGCAGCAAAGCAGCAGAGAGCAGGGAGCAGTGCTGTTATTTGGGAAGTCACTGAGCATCACTTACTTCCTCGATGCGCTCCTGAATGAACCGAAGGGAAGAACCTGAGCCCCTGATAGCCCCCTGAGCCTCCAGCAGCACTGTGTTTGCCTGTCTCAGATTCCCAACAACTTCTTCCACATTGCCTTCCACAGCATTCGCCCGGTTCCTGGAGAAACACAAGAAACAGCCAGAGTGTGGAGAATTGCATGGACTGGATATCAGGACTGCAGGGGCAAAATAAGCAAGCTGGGGAAGCAAGACAATACTGTAATGGAGAAGGCTGTGATCACCCCACACACATCCAGACACAGTATAGAATAGCCATAGAGCAGATTTCCATTCAAGAGAAGTGTTACTTCCATTTCACATCCCCAAACAGAGGAAATGAACTGAGAAGGGGAGAGATGTAGAAACAACTGCTTTGCAAGGGTGCAGGAAAAAGAATTAAAGGGAAATTAAAGGGAACCAACTTCACTGCATACTATCTGCTTTCCATTGGGACTATTTAGACTGGAGGACAGAGCTCCCCATAGTGTCATGGTTTTTCATTGGTATTCCACATCAGAACAGAAGCCAGACTGCTTTGTCTCATCGATTCCAGCGGGCTAAGCAGGTGTCAGACACTATAAAGGAGTTTACGTACTTATCCCACTCACCTTCTCACCGGGATGTTGCTGAAAGTCAGCACATGACAAAGCAGATGCTCCAAATTTGCAAGGGCTCTGTGTAATTGCTTTTGAAGGGGCCATGGGATAATCCTCCCAACTTTCACCCAGAAAACAAATAGCCCATTTAATCCCCTCGTGCTCTCTTGTGTGATCAGAATGTGGGTCACCAATATCAATAACAGAGCCACCCCATCATCTCCCCTTATATGGTCTTGAGAAATAGAGAAAATTCTCTGTTACTTTTGGTATAGAGTTTCTTGCTCTAGGATCCATAACAAGATCTATTCTTGGCAGCCAGATCATTATTTGAATCAAAGTATCAGAGAAGCCTCTGTAGAGCCTGCAAATATATCCTTTTAGCCACCATGCATACACAGAAGCACAGTCAGATTTCACCCCAGCTGAGCATCAGCACATTCCCTCTGGCTCAGTGACTCTCAGCTGCCGAAAGCCTTCAGCCAAGCTGACCTGGCCTGTTCTGCCTCCTGCTGCAGCTGCTTGGCCTTTGCAATGTCCTCGGCTGTCTGGGCAAGTATGTTCTCTGGGCATTGCAGCTTGGTAGCCAAACTTTGAATCTCATTCATTTTTCTCAGGACTGCGGCAGCATCCGTGGGGAGACGTAGAGAGAGAACAAACTCGCTGACTTCCTGGACTGTTGCAGGGTCTGTGTCTTTGTCTGCATGCAAACAGAGGAACAACGTCAGACAGAAGAGAGGTGAGAGGCAGGAAGGTGAAGGCAGATGTCCAGCATGCTCTTACACGTCATCTCTTCCTTTCAGACAGCTGCCAGAATCTACTCTAGTTTAATCAACAAGCTCAAGTTGCCGTCCTTAAAAGGCAGGCTCAGTGTGAACATGATCTGCCCCATCATGATAGAAATGGAGCACCAAATGGAAAGCATAGAGGGACTGAGGCACTATTGCACCCCACGTTCCTGCAGAGCACAGGCAGGGCTTGCACCACTGAGTAGATAAGGCTGTGTTTCAACACAAGCCCTTTTTATTGCACAAATAAAAGTTAATAAATCTGAGGAATCGGAATCAGGCAGAGCCCAAGGGACATTAGCCCAGTGATTAGCTCAGAAATATCTTCCCCCATCATTAACACCAGGCAGCACCAAGTGACCTGATTTTCTTATTCAGCTAATGCTCGTGAGGCTTATTATGTTATTACAATCTGTCTGTGAACAGTAAGTCATCCCACTGGTTTATAGGACAATGAGGAATTCTCTCACGATTAGCAGCCTGTTCCAGAGAGACATCCATTTATCTCCTGTCCATAAGGTCACTGCTAAACTCTTCTACACTGTGGTCAGTGCTGACTGCAAACCTCTGGGGAGCATCTGTCATGGTTATGGTTTGCCCTTGGACCTGAGGACAATGAGAGACTCCCAGAGAGGTCTGGATAAACCAGGTAGCTGAGAGTCTAGCCGGGGTGAGCTGCTCAGT